GGAGACAATGAATTTCATCCCTGTTCTGCATTGTCTAGTGATGGCTCTTTGTTGCTCAGTGTCCTCACTGTAACTCAGGTGTACTAACCATACCTCCTTCTCAGGACGGCTCTGTGATTTTTCACAACAGGAGTGGAGCTATTGTCTGTATATTTACTGAGTATCAAGTGTAAACCAAGACAATCAGGTCAGGGTTTCAGAAGTCTGGTCACATCTGAACACAACTGGCATTCTCCATTGTGGCCTGTATACCAAATCAACTCCTGGTTTCTAAGTAATAAAATCGGCATTTGTAATCTTTTGTCTAGTGCAGCTCTTCTCAGGCTCAGCTCAGTTCCCCAAACTAAATATAAAGTCAGGGAAATGAAGGAATTCTCCTAGGCAGTGTGTAATCCAGGCAGGAACCCAGCAGTCCCTGCCCTCCAAAGCTGTGGTTGTTGTCCTTCAGGTTTTCCAAGCCAATAGAGATGAGATGTTCCATAAATAGGACCCTTAGTGAAAGGTTCAGCCATTATGCTGGCCTGCCCCTGTTACCTGGTGGAACAGGCAATACCCTGGTCAGCCCAAGGTTCCATGGGAACTAAGTCTGCACGCAGGTGCAGAGGACCCCTTTAAAAGATAGGCCCCTGCCCATTTACGCTCTCTGTTCCCTCTCTCTGTCCCCTCTCTGTTTCCCTCTCTCTGTTTCCCCGCTCTGTTTCCTCTCAGCTTCCTTTCTACTCTCTCTCACCTATGTGCTCTCTCTATGGCGACCGGCCATGGCAGTCATCCATTTACCCCTGTTCCTCTTCTTAGTCTCCCCATTCTGCCGGGCCTTATAATAAACTTATAGTCTTATGTCTAATGTCTCAGCATTTCTCTTTTCTTCTTTTTAAACAAAAGAATAACACTTAGGAGTATTGAGGTCATTAGGTTTGTCTGATGAGTTTGAAGATGGAAGTGATTCAGAAAAAAACTTTATGGAGAACTAGGGTTCAAGAGCAAAACAAGAGAATAACAAACTGGGAATTCAGTGTCTACATGGCACAGGGTAGGCCCTCAGGAAACTGGGAAATATTGTTATTCTGACACTTAGCTCTAGTCAGTGATACTGGTAAACACACACCTCCCCTATGTCCTAGCAATTCTACTCCAAATGATACACCCAGATGTGGGAGCAAATGTCCATATATTCATACATAAGAACAAGAATCTTCACATGTGCAAGGATTCAGGCATTATGCTGGCCTGGCCCTGTTATCTGGCAGAATGTACTCAGGCAGTACTCTCGTCAGCCCAGGGTTCCATGAGTACTAGTCTGCATGTAGGTGTAAAGGACCCCTTTAAAAGACAGACCCCTGCCCACTTACAAGCTCTTCCCTCTTCCTCTCTTGCTCTTCTCGCTCTCTCCCCCTTTGACCTCCCTCTCCCTCTCCCTCTCCCAACCGTTGTCTCTCTCTTCTCCCCCTCTCGCTCTCCCCACCTGTAATAAACTCTATGGTTAATGTACCTCTTGGTTCATGTTCCATCACGTCAGTTCCATCTCTAGCGTGCTCATTTTTAACTTAAACAAAAGAACAACCACATGGACATTACAAGAGCCTTAAACTAGAAATGGCCTAGTGTCCATCAGCAAGAGATAATTCAATAAAAATTAAAAATAAACTGAGGATGGATTTCACAGGCATTATGTTGAGTTAAGGAAGCATGATAATTAAGGGTACATCTCATTTATAAGATGGTCCTAGAGTGGGCATGGCAGCTTATGCCTGTAATCCCAGCACTTAGAAGGCTGAGGCAGGAGGACTGCCAAAAGTTCCAGGCCAGCCCAGGCTACAGAGTAGAAAGTCTGTCTTGAAGAAACAATCAAACAAAAGACGTCTGGGGATGTAGCTCATGGATAGAGTTTTGTTTGCCTAGCATACACAAATTAGACATGGTGGCAATTATCTATGATCTCAATAATTAGGAGACACAAAACATAAATTCAAAGTCACCCTCAGTTACATATTGAACAGAGGGTGGCCTTAATTTATAAAACCCTGCCTCAAAATGAACAAACAAACGGGGCCAGTGAGGTAGCACTCGAAGCCAAGCCTGTCAACCTGAGTTGGATTCCTAGGACCCACTGGGTAGGAGGAGAGAACTGACTCCTGGAAGGTATCCTTGGACCTCCACATGCCATGGCATGGGCACACAGGAACCAAATTTAAAAGAAAAAAAAAGAAAGAAAGAAAAGAAAAGAAAACAATGATAATAGTTTTCAAAAGATTTTACACACATTATTATGTTTATGGAGACAGGGTTTCTATGTAACAGCCCTGGCTGTTCTGAAACTTGCTTTTCAGACCAGAATGACCTTAAACTCCCAGAGATCCACCTAACTCTGCCTCTGAGTCCTGGGATTAAAGGTGTGGGCCACCATACTGGCCATTCCTTTCTTAGCACCCAAATGACAGCTCACAAAAGCCTGTAACTCCAGTTCCAGAGGAGCTCACTCCTGGTCTCCAAGGTTACCACAAATGTAGGCAAACACTCATATGCATAAAATAAAAAAAAGAAATCTTTTTTTGTTTTTTGTACCTTGTTTTGTTTTTTTGAGACAGGGTTTCTCTGTAGGTTGGAGGCTGTCCTGGAACTCTCTGAAGACCAAGCTGGCCTTGAACTCACAGAGATCCTCCTGCCTCTGCCTCCCAAGTGCTGGGACTAAAGGCGTGCATCACCAGTGCCCAGCTAAAAAGGAAATCCTTAAAAATATGTTTAAGTACATGTGGGTATGTGCATATGTGTGCAGGTGTCCAAAGAGGTCAGGAGAATGTCACCAATCCCTTGGAGCTGGAGTTACAGGCACTAGTGAACTGTCTAACTTGAGTGCTTGGGAACTGAACTCATCAGGGTGGTTTGCAGGAGTGAAAAAACAGCCTGCCTCCATCTTAGGCTTAAAAGCCATCTTAAAGAAAAACTAAGTTCATTCCTGTTTATGATTAAACCCGTTTCTCAAGGATTGAGCTATGCCCTGCCTATAACCTTAACTACAAATGGTTCTGTACTGCCTGTTCCAGGAATGGCAATCTTACCTTTGTTTCAAAAAGTTATTTATAATCATCTTGCAAACCTACCTTTGCTTCAAAAGGTTGTATGACCACCTAGTTATGCCCCCTTGCAACCATGTCTTTATTTCTTTTTT